GTATTCTGCCCTGCCTCTGTTTCAAAGAGCTTTGTTGTGCAGGAGCCCCGGTCCAGAAATATGCACTCAACTACTGGAAATTTTTTCTGGGCGATACTAACGGTGTTCTGGTGGCCTAGAAGGTTGGCAGTTTGACTCTATCAGTTGCTCCAAGGGAGAAAGATGGGCACTAAAGATTAGTGTTGTTGTTGTTGTTGGTTTTGGGTGCTTTTAACTCACAACAGATCTGAACTTCCCTCTGTCTTATGCCATCATCAGGATCCCTGTCCTACTCAAAACCAATGTGACAGTCACTGTGTCAACCCATCCCTTTTAGAGTTGTCTTCTGTTTCACCAACGTTCAACTTTTCCCAACATAGTGTCTCCCTCCAAAGACTGGTTCCTTCTAAGTATAAATCCAAAATAAGTGAGGTGACATTTCACCATCCTTACCTCTAAGGAGAACTTTGGTTGCATTTCCTTCAAGACTGTGTGTTCTTTTAGCTATCTGTGGGATAGCGATAATTTTTGCCAGCCTCAATTCAAAGGCATCAATTATTCTGTTATCCTTATTCATTATCCAACTTCCAGATGCATTAAAAGCAACAGATAATACGATAGCTTAGATCAGGGAACACGGGTGGCCTTGTGGCAAGAAGCTGTGATGCACTCACAAAGGCATGTGGTTTGAATCCACCAGCTGCTCCTCTGGAAAAAATGGACAATCTCCTCCCGTGTGATTAGCTGCCTCTGAAAACCCACCAGAGTGTCAGCTATGGGTCGCTTCATATTCCATGGTGCACAACAGCTCTGAAGATTATGGTAACTAAACTACTCTTACAAATTAGAGTTGGGATAGAATAAGAGATTGTTACATTTCACCCTTAATCCTCTTACAATAATTTGGTTTATCAGATCATGCAGGATTGTTACCTACAGAGCATGTATGTATTTTGGGGGGGACACACAATTCAATTCATGACACTGTTTCTGGACAACAAATGTGACACATCTCTTAACAATTTCCTCATCCTTATCTAGCAAAACTCATCAGGGTGGCTAACCCTCCTTCCCCTAAAAAAAAAAAAAAAAAAAATATATATATATATATATATATATATATATATATATGTATAATCTACTAATGGATTTTAAAGGTAGAGGTCAGAAACTTTCACAGAGACCTCAAAGCTCTGCATGGCCCGTACCCTGATGCCCTTTCTAGTGTATCTCTTACCATTCGTGTCCTGCTAACAATGATGATCTGTCTTTAATATTTTGAGACAGTTTTTCTAGAACAGCATATATTCCTACTGTTTCATGGATTCCACTTTATCAAGTCAGTCTTTTTCTTCTTTTGCCCTTTGTATGCATTTATACTTAGAAATCCAGGATTTAAGCTTAGAACACTGGTTACTAATCAGCTGTCAGTCAAAGCCATTGCATTTCCAGCAACAGAACCATTACCTTGGTGATGAATATTGTTGTCAGAAATATTGACCTTTATCTGCTAAATAGAGCACATTGCTTTGATGCAGGAGGAAGAAGGCTGTTGCTTTGTAGCACATAGACGTCATTTATTTGGGCATGTGTCTTTAGATGAACTGTCAAGATAGGAAAAGGAAGTGCAGAGAGAGTGCATGGCAGAGCATGTGTGATGTGCATGCCCCCCGCCTCCACCTGTGTTCATTGGCATTTGTGTGAAATGACACTCATGAAGTCTGCTTGCTGCATGGCAAATAAAGTTTATATTGAAGACTCTTTTTGGAGGGTAGGGGTAGGGACAGGATGAGCAAGACATAGGAGAAGGACTAAAGGTAGTGGTACTATATTTTACAGCCTAATACAGGCCATGGTCTTTGCAATCACTTGCTATGCATTGGAGAGCTGGATGATGACTAGGGATGATAGAAGGAGAATTGCTGCCTTTGAGCTGTGGTGCAGGAGAAGAGGACTGAATATACCATGAACTTCTAGGAAAATTAACAGGTTTGTCCAGGAAAGGGTGAAGCCGGAATGCTCCTTGGAGGCAAGGATTCCGAAGCTTCGTCTGACATACTTTGGACATGTTGCAAGGAGGGATCAGTCCTTGGAGAGGGACATCATGCTTGGGAGGGTGGAGGGACAGTGCAGGAGAGGAAGACCCTCTATGAGATGGATTGATTCAGTGACTGGGATAATGGGGGTAGGTGTGTCAGAGATGGTGAGACTGGCAGAGGATAGGACAGAGTTTAGGGCTGTTGTTCATTGGGTCACTGTGAGTTGCAGGTGACTCGACGGCACATAACAACAACAACAACAACAACAACATTAATCTATAGCTAGAGTAATTCAGCCTCTGACATAACTGTGAATTTGGGACTCCAAGTTAAAGGTTATGAAACAATCCCTCTTTGCCTCTTTCTTCTGCTGCATGTGCCCATCACTTCATTACAAGTGACTTCCCTAAAGACCACTTTAAGACTTTGAAAACTTGCCTGAAAAGCTATGAGTTTCCTAGGGCTATTGTTCCAAAGTATCACAAAATGGGCAACTTTATACAACAGATAAAATAAATGTCGTTGTTGTTGTTAGGTTCCATCAAGTATGACCCATAGCAACCCTATGAAAAATAGATCTGAACCCTGTCCTATCATATGTCACCTCCCTCACAATCTCTGACACACTTGGGCTCATTGTTGCAGTTACTGTGTCAACCCATCGGGTTGAAGGTCTTCCTCTCTTTCACCATCCCTCTGTCTTTTCAAGCATGATACACCTCTTCAAGGGATAGCTTCTCCCAGTAACATGCCCAAAGTTTGTGAGACAAAGCTTTATCATCTGTGCCTTTAAGAAACATGCTGACTCCACCTTCTTTAAAACATATTTGTTTGTTCTTTGGACAGTCAGAGGTATATTCAGTACTCTTCTCCAACACCAAAACTCAAAGGCATCAATTAATTTTCTGCTATCCTTATTCATTGTTCAGCTCTCAGATGTGTGGCAAGAGATTGAAAAAACCATAGCTTGGCACACTTTAACCTTCAAACCTCTATCATTGCTCTTCAGTATTTTGGAGAAGTCCTTGACAGAGGATTTGCCCAAAGCAATACATTTCCTGATCTCTTGACTGCTGCTTCCGGGGGGGGGGGTTGATTGTGGATATGAGTAAGATGAAGTCATTTACAATTTCAATCTTTTCTCCATCTATCATGATGTTGCCTTTTGGTCCAGTGGTGAGAATTTTTTTCTGGATATTGAGATGTAGTCCATATGAAAGACCATATTTTTTGTTTTTATCCTCTGCGGGAAGCACTCCTAAGTCCTCCTCATTTTCAGCAAGAAAGTTGCATCCTCTCTATAATGTACGCTATTAATGAGTCAGCCTCTGATCTGATCGACAACAATGCTAGATAATTTTAGAGTGTATTTATTGTCTTACATTTCTGCAGGCTAATAATTCAAATAAATGGACCGGAGGGGGCAAACATCCTTCTAAAATCTGATGGGGAAGATTTTTTTTCTTCCTAACTTGGCACCAGTAGCCAGGAAATGAAAAGGCGCATTGCCATGGGAAAGTCTGCTATTAGGGACCTCTCCAAAGTACTGAAGAGCAATGGTGTCTCTCTGGAGACTAAGGTGCATCTGATACAGGCCATGGTATTCGCAATCACTTGTTATGCATCAGAGAGTTGGACAATGACCAAGGAGGATAGAAGGAGAATTGATGCCTTTGAGCTGTGGTGCTGGAGAAGAGTATTGAGAATACCATGGACTGCTAGGAAAACAAACAGATTCATCCTGGAAAGGGTTAAACTGGGTGGCTCCTTGGAGGCAAGGATTCTGAGGCTCAGTCTAACATACTTTGGACATGTTGTGAGGAGACACCAGTCCTTGGAGAAGGACATAATGCTTGGGAGGGTTGGAGGGACAGCGCAGGAGGGGGGAAGGCCCTCTATGAGGTGGATTGATTCAGTGACTGGGTAATCGGGATGGGTATGTCAGAGACAGTGCGATTGGCACAGGACAGAGCAGAGTTTAGGGCTGTTGTACATAGGGTTGCTATGAGTCGCAAGCGACTCGACGGCACCTAACAACACTAACAACATCTGTTTTCTAGAGTTTTGCTAGTACAAATTGTTTCACAATAGACATTCTTCCCGCTTGGCTCCTGGACATATATCTAAGAAGAAATTTAAGATTAAATTAAAAGTCAGTAATTTTTTTTTTCTATAAAGGGCCAAATAGTAAATATTTAAGACTTTGCAGACCATACAATCTCTATTTTCTATTTTAATTTCTATTTCTCTATTACAATTTCTGGCAGCTACTCAACTCTCTAGTGTGTTCAAGTGTGAAAACAGTCATAGAAAATATGTAAATGGGCATGGCCATGTTGCAATAAAGCTTTCTTTAGAAAAATAGGCTGGCTAGGTAAGTTTTTTTCCCTTAGACTATAGTCTGCCAATTCTTTGATCTAAGTTCTAGACTTTTCTGTCCTGGCTGCTTTCAGATACTATTGCACTCCCTCTTTATTCACCTGAATATCCATCTGCTGTGGAGCTTCTCTTGTCCTGTCTTTGAATGTCCACGCTCAGGGAACTTCAGGGAGTAGGGTAGAAAGGGGATTGGGAGAGAGATGCTGGGGGTGGTGGGGACCAAAGGTAGAAAGGGCACCACATGACTGCTGAGCACAAGTGAGAAGTGGCACTCTTCTTAACGAAATGCTGGGGTCTCAGCTACAGCACTACTGACATCACAGAAGCAGCTGTGAGGTCATGACTAGGCTGTGAGACAGAGCAAATCAAACAATAGTTAATTTGGTATTTATGGTTTTATTTATTTTAACTGCAGTAATAAAAGTTGGAATTGGCTCATTAGGGATAATTCCCCAAGCCCTGGTCTCCTCCTGCTCCTGCTTAAGTGGCTTTAGATGCAAATATTATTGTCCCTGTGGTCTCAGATGTCATGCTCCAGTGATCTCCACATCCTGGACATGTCCTGGTGCTATCTCCATCTTGGACTCAATGTTACGCATCTCCTCAGTCATGAGCTGTAATCACTGCTCTTGAAGTAGGAGTAGATTTGAAGCTCCTGAAGAAAGAGCCGATCTTGCTGAATTCCTTATCCACTGGAGCTGAGCTAGTTGTTGCAGATTGGGGCCGCCCCAGTTTCTGAGTTGTCCTCAACTCCTTTGGGCTGGGGCTGCGGCTGCGGCTGCGGCTGAGGCTGCGGCTGCAGCTGATACTTTTGTGAGATGAGGGCCTCTGTCCTTTGCCCTTTGTGCTGCCATGACCTTTCCCTTTTTTATCCTCTCTCCTGGTTCCATGGGTGGCTAAGAACCGGTGGGAGGATGATTTCCGGGTTGATTTGTCTCCAGTTTTCCTGTGGTGATGAGAACTTCTCCTAGTGGGAATTTTGTCCCTCTTTGATCTTCTTTCTTTTTTTTCCTTCTGAACTTTGGTGTTGGGCTTGGAGACCCTCTGGCTTCCATCTCGCTCACTCACGTGGCCTTTACTTTTCAAGGTGGAGAGAAAGGGTAATTCAGCATTCTCTACAACAGGTTTGTTGGTTGTTACTCCTTCAAAGCTGCTCTCTGGGGAGTTACTGTTTGCCACTGTTGATTGGGTGGAACTACCCTCTGCAGATGAGCCTGTGGCACTTGCCGAGACCACATCAGCACTCTCGGAGGGCACACTGGCAGTACCTGCTACAGCCTTGCTGGGTCCTCTGCTCACTCTTGGATTCTTGGCGACTGCTCCTGCCAGGGCCACATTTGTCTGTGCTGGCCCTGAGGCCTTGGTGAGTGCAATGCTTATGGTACTTTCTGAACGGCCTGCTGCTGTCCCTGCTACTGCAGCTCCCACTGTGGAGCCTGCTGCTGCCCCTGCTACTGCAGCTCCCATTGTGGAGCCTGCTGCTGTCCCTGCTACTGCTGCTCCTATTTTGGGGCTGGTTGCTGCCCCTGCCATTGCTGCTCCCAATCTAGAGCTGGCTGCTGCTCCTGCCATTGCTGCTCCTGTTGTGGAACCTGCCATGGCCCCTGCTATCGCTGCTCCCATTGAGGGACCTTCTGTTGACCCTGCTAATGCTGCTCCCATTGTGGGACCTGCTGCCGCCCCTGCGACTGCTGCTCTTTTGGCAGACCCTGGCGATTCCTTGGCTGTAGAAGAGGCACCAGGCATTCCATGAGAAGGCTGTTGGATTCCAATTCCTTCTCCTCCTGCATAAGCAGAAGAGGTGGCTCCAGACACCTCCTGGGACTTACGAAGCCTGCTTTCATCCCGATCCCCTTCTGCATGGAGATCTGCAGTCTATGCCAATGGGAGGAAAACCAAGTGGAAAAGAGATGAAGTGAGATTCATTCATCTTAGTGCTGAGCAACTCAAGGACTTATAATTAGAAGAACCATTGAGATCATCAAGTCAGAGCTCCCATTTGTAACAGAATCCTATCTATAGAGCTTCTTCTGTTAAATGGCCCCTCAGTATTGCTTGAATAATGACAATGCCAGAGAAAGCATTCATTCACCTTCCTATCCTTGTACATTTTTATTTTGCACATATGTGCTTACATCTCTGCAAAATAAGCTTTTTAGAAGTAGGCTTGCTCAGTGAAGGGATATATACATTCTGCATTTTTTTAGTGACCACTAAAAAATCGTGCACAAGCATAGTTATTTATGTACCTCTGGGTTGTACTGATTTTCATAAATTTAATGCATGGCATTAGTAGGGCAACAGATCAGGGCTCAATGGAAGAAATAATTTCTTTGATGTTAAAAAATATACAGCAATAGTAAAGTGTCCTAACAGATTGGAAAAACCAGGCTGTTGTGGAGGGGATTTAGGCATAAGGATGAGACCAGAGCAGCCCAGACCTAATGTCTTGAAACTGAGTCTTGTGGAGTACTTTGGAGAAGAACTCAGGATCTTGCCAATGTGGGATTTTCCTTAGGGGTAGGTCACCTGGCCCTAAAGACCAAACTCATTTACCATGGAGCCTATAGTAATTCATGGAAACTATATGTGTTACAGAGTAGACTGATCCATAGGGTGTTCCTGGCTTTTTTTATGGTCTGCAGCTATTCCAGCTATCACTACTCTCCCAGCCTTTCTTCTAGGTCACTACTGAGTAAGTACCAATTGCCACCCTTAAGCTTTGGGATCAAGACAAACATCCGCACTCCCCAGGGGCCTATTAGGAAGCTCTGGTGGCATAGTCCTTAGGGAGTTGCACTCCTAACCTAAAAGTGGCATCTCTCTGGCAGTTTGAATCTACAAGTGATTGCTCAGAAGAGAAATAAGCAGTCATGATTTGAAGCCTTGAAAACTCACTGGAGGGACAGATAGGAGTAGGTTCTGACTCAACAGCAATGAGTTTGAGAGTATTAGGAGCCCATTTGACATCTGTATATTTTTAAATGCAGTGCATTTTTAAGTTGAATCCCAGGAGAAATAAAAAACCCACAGGCTTTCTTAAACAACCAGTGTTTAACTGCTTTTCCAAAACACCCTGTTCTCATTTGATCTTTTCCCCTGGAAATGCTCACCATTATGTGCCTGTTGTCATCTGCCAAGCATATAGATGATGTGTTCGCTAAATCCACAGTTTGGAGGGATGGGGTACTGCTGTAACTCTTCATTGCTGGTCTCAGGAGAAAGACTAGTTTTTCCCAGCAGCAAAAGAGGTCTTCACGTGCATCTGAAGAGGGGCACAGCTGCAGGTAAAAGGTACGGCCAGTGGCAAGCTTCAGGCGCAGTTGCTGTTTTTCTCGATTGTGTATAGAGATCTTGACAAACTTCAAGGGAAGAAGCCTGGTAAGCTCTAAATTCTTTGTGTTCTTTCGACCTCTCTTTTTGGTGGGTCGGTCTTCACAGCCTCTGGCTGGCCGGGCCAGCAACATGACATCTGGCAGTGGGAGGACTGGGCTGGTAGATGTGATGCCCACAGTTACCATTCGAACATGGTTATGTACATCGATCACTTCGCCTTTTTTGCTAACCTGGATAAAGTCGCTCTCAAACATTGGTGCATACTTAAAAATGTCATACTCTCCTCTTCTATGCAGTTGGCGTTGTAGATCTCCCATGGAAGTTTTGAACACACCCATCGAATGGTTGCTGGCGGTGTAATAAGGTAACACGCCTTCGTTGTTCATAGATCTCTTCTTTCAAGACAACTCTGCCAGCTATAAATCGCGTCCCCAAGAAAGGGAGAGCAAAGGCCACTGTCCATCTCCCTCTAGGACTTCTGCCTAAATCACCTTATACTACTGCATTTATCCTCAGCTGTCCTTTGTGACCTGTCACCATTACATACTCCTTTGTTTTAACCACAACAGACCTCCTTAGGTCACCAGCCTCCCCAAACCAACTAATACCTACAAAGGCAGGCTGACCCTGGCCAGATATAGGTGTGGGGGGACTGGGTAGTCTTTTAAATCAACATATTGGGATATATCCTATTTTGGCAAATGTCTTTGGTTTGGGGTTCCCCTACCCAGTTTTATTGTTACAGTAATCATCTCTCTGTAGACATTCTGAAAATCCTTTTCTTTTTTTTTTAAGAGTACCAAAACCATTAATATTTTATTCTAGTGCTGAGAAATGCATCCTTCCACACAGAAATGCATCCTTTCACACAGGATTCTAATTTAGCAGACAGAAACTTTAGAACTTTAATTAAAAGAGGTAAATCATATATATATATATATTTTCAGATTTTAGTTTCATAAGTTTTATCAAAGTATGAATCACTGAAAATTATCAAATGAATCCTAATACTTCTACTATTGTCTCACCATCAGTCATGTAATCCTGTGTGGACTGTATTCAGATTGTGTATTAATAACTTCTTTGATTCGTCAAAGTGTAAGGGAAAAAACTTGATATAAGTTATACTCTGTCAGTTACCCATTAAATTATATTTTTCCATCATTATTTTCAACTCACATTTTGTGGTTCTTCTTGTAGTCCATTTATTTCAATTTTTAGTGCTGTACATATCTATGTCTTCTGGATACCACTGCCCATGATCCATGAGACTGGGGTCAGGCATAAACTGTGTAGCACCTGAAGTAGGTTCTGGTTTGGTCTTTCTTTCAGAGCTGGGTTGTGTTGGTAAAAGCACTGGAGATTTCAGGACTTCAGTTGTCTTTGAAGGTATTTCACTTTCACCACAATTCCCTACCTTATTTTTTTCTTTAGGTTCTATTTCAGGGAGTGATTCTTTTTTACTGATTCTAGTCCCCCGATGATTTAACAACTTCACAAAAATTCTGGCTTGCAGCATATGCCTTTTTTCCAGTTACCTTTGAAATTATTATTGATTGAACTGCGTAGCAAATAGTTGCTCCTAAAGTGGCTAGTCCCAGTGGATAAGAAATTTTCTTAAATCCAGAACCTTTTCTTGCTGAAACCAAGCCTGCTAATCCTGAAACTGTTATCACTCCAACTTTGGGAAGAAAATCTTCAGGGGGATTCTTCAGATAAGCATATGCATCTTTTACAAATTTTACTGTGTCCATTATCTCATTTTTCACAAATACGTATACATCCTTGCACCAGCCAGTTGTAGTGCGAAGGGAAGCAAAGCCCATTTGTAAATGGCCAGGCTGTTCTTCAACATATTTAGACTGAAGAGGTGATTCAGTATATAAAGGTAGCTGCTCTGGTTTTACTAGTTGCTTTTTATACTCCTCTTCTTTGGCTGCAGGTATACTTACAGATGCACAAATCAAATTTGTAGGCATGGCTGTCATTTTTCTCACCCTAACTGCAGCCATTCAGCCGATCTTCTCCTCCCACGTTTTCGTACCGAAAATCCTTTTCTTTAAAAACTGCCAAGAGTTTACTCCCTGGGAAAAAAATAGTTGAAAGCAGACTGCATGCTTGCTCTGGGCTGGTGACTAGAATACTTTTCTCTGGGTCCCCAGTGTACAATATCACAGTGCTGGCAGGCATAAAGATGTCATCAGAGAACCATAACACTGTGGGTTCCAGGCGCTGGAGGATTGATTATCCCACCAATTTTCTCATCTGAGAGAAGTTAATTTAAAAAGGAAAAAAAAACCACCCATAAATAAAAGGTCAACAAGCAAAGGAATGCCAGGCTGAGGAATAGGTCAGCCTGCCCCAAGCCATGATAGCTGTTACTGCTCCATATGCATTTAAAATTTAGACAATCAATAAAGAATACTGAGAGGAATTGTGTAAGTTTTCAGTTAAGTTTTTAGCAACCAATATTAGATAGACCATGCACTGTGAGAAGGAGAAATCTACCCTGGGGCTACAATAGTCAGAATGTTCCTTTGAAGTAAACGTGGACAGACTTTGTTCCATATACTTGGGACATATTATCAGAAGAGAGCAGTATTTAAAGAAAGATATCAATGTGGTAAAGTAGAAATAAAAAATGGAGAAAACTCTCTAAATGGAGCTCTGGTGGCCTCATAGTAAGAAGCTGCGTTGCAATCCTGAAGGCACACAGACCGAATCCACCAGATGCTCCGCTGGAAAAGGAGGGGAAATCTCCTCCTGTGCCAGTGGGATCTGACTTGATAGTACACAACAAGGAAAAAAAAAGATGAAGACTCTCGAGAATATGTATTGAGAAAATGGAGGCAACAATGGGCTCAACTATGCCTCGTCTGTGAGAAGAGAACCGAGGGACTGGCTGAGCAGGGTTTTGTTGTGTCATACACTGGTCACTATGAGTCAGAACAGACTTAAAATCCTCTAACAATAAACATTTTTAAAAACCCAACCACAGCAAGCTCTGGTGGCCTAGTGGCAAGAAGCTGCACTGTAATCTCAGAGGTGCACCGTTCGAAACCACCAGATGCTCTGCTAGAGGAGGAGGACCAATCTCCTGTACCAGTCAGATCTGACTTGACAGTACACACAAAACATAATGAATGAAAATAAAAAAAAAACCCAATCCAAACCAAACAAACAAAAAAACCCCAATCACCCAGCAACATAATCTTATGATGAGAAAACTGAGACTCAAGATTAAGCATCTCACTCAAGGTCAGAGTATTTGAATCTAGCTCATAAAATGAATCCATTCATGTCAACAAAACTTAATATATAGGACCAATTCAGTGAGTCCTTATTGCCAAATCCCCTCATCTTTCTTCATTCCATAAATAAAAAATCAATCCTTGGTAGGCCTGTTGATGCTATAACATAACATTGAAATGTTGCCAGCTTCTTGCCTTATTTACAAGCTTTTTTACATTTTTTTTCCTTAACAAGGATTATTGTGACCGATGTAAGCTATGATACCAACTTGCAAGAATTTACAGAATAATAGGAAAACACACATTGAAGAATGAACAAAATAGGAGCGTGAGTAAATAAATGACAGAGTAATGGTAAACAAAGGCAATGAATGGACCCCTAATAATCCTGTATTTAAAACTGATAAGAATTGCTTTGTAATGTTGGCCTGTATTATTCTTAAGTGCCATCAAGTCAGAACCAGCTCAGTACCAGCCCCCTAGCAGGCTTTCAGAGGCTGTAAAGCAGATAAAACGTTATAATGAAATGTGCAAAGAGCTGTAGTCAGAAAATAAATAATAATAAAAAATAATTCACTCAACATTTCTCAAGCTAAGGATCTGAAGAACAAATTCAGGCCTCAAGTTGTAATCTTGAAAGATGCTGTGGGTCCAATCTTGAATGATCCAGGAAGCACCAAAAGGAGATGAAAGGAATACACAGAATTGTACCAAAAAGAATTGTTTGATGCAGAAAAATTCCAGAAAGTACCATATGAACAAAAGCCAATGGTTCAGGGAGCGCTGAAGGCACTGGCAAAATATACAGTCCTAGGAACTGATGAAAGCAACTCCATTTTTCCTCACTTTTTCATCTCCAGAGTAATATATCATATGGTCATCCGACTCAAAATGCCCCATGCCAGTCCATCTCATCTCA